ACACATCGTTCAATACCAATTCAGCTCCAAACCGAACAATTTCAACTGTCACAACAGCGACCATCACGATTGCAAAAGTTTAAATTTAACGAATATGAAATGATTATGACGTTTGCTTATCCAAATAAGCATCATATTATTTTTTAATCTACCTTTTTCTTTCTTATTCTTTGTATAATACTTCTTTTTCTTGGAAACAAAAATTGAGCAAAATTGAATAAAAGAAAAGTGAAATTTTTAAAGTTTGCTTTAAATGTCTTCTTGATGAACAATGAAATGGATAATGTTGTGCTCAGTTACATTTTGTAATTTTAGATTTGCTGATAAAGATGAAGCTTTATTATTAAAGCAATCAGCATTCCATAATGATCGTTCAAGTGCTCAAGATAAATCCAAATCCAGAAGCAAAGATGATGAATCATATACTGAAAGTTCTACTGAACTTGTAAGTTTGCCCGTTTAAAGCCTTATGTGTAAATTACACGCTTTATTTTTAGCTTGAATGATATTTTATAAACTGATACGAGAAAAATGCTCCTGACATGGTCTGAACATGATTTATCAAATTTGAAAATAGTTGAACCCTACATTGACCTCACTTTAAAATGTCCTGGAGTTTTGGCCTCGGATAAGTAATTTAAAAAAAGACAAAACAAAAAATAAGAAAGACATTTTTTGAAATTTATTAAATAAATCTGTAATTAAATTTTAAAAAAGTTTGTGGAATATTCTTATGTATATATTCTAACTGATTTGAGATTGTTTAAAATATTCCTTCCTTGTAGTGATCATTTAGTGATATCATTTATGCACTGATAAGATAATAAAGATTTTATGGTAATTAATATGCCATCGTTCATTGATTACAGATAAAAATAGATAGTAATTTGATACCATCACTGCCAGTCTTCAGTGATAACGATTATAATAGAAACGTTTTTATCAGCAGTCAGAGGGAAAAGTATCAAAGAAGCTTCATCAACGAAAAATGCATAAAAAACGAAGGAAGTCCGACTATTCAGAATCGAAATCATATCGTGAAAAGCCAATTAAAAGTAACTCTAACAATCTTCAAGTTGATCAGCAAACAACAACCAGTGATAGCATAAGTATTCATAATGCTAAGCAATCAGCTTCTGATACATCTCTTCATCGTTAGTATTCATCTATAGTTGATAATTCTAATATTTTATCTTATCAAATCGTATCTGAAATGGATTAGTTAATATTATTTTTAATTGAAACTAAAATGAAATGAAAGGCATGAAATCAGATTGAGTGAAAATATTATTTTATCTTTAGAAAATAACAAGACAAAATTAAAATTAATTAAAAGTAATTTAAAAAACAACATAAAATTATCAAAAATTAAATTTAAAGATTTTGCAAATTGCATTTAAACATTAAATTATGCAGAATTTTCAAAAATTTATTTGTGATCAAAAATTTCGTAATTATCATTGAATTTGATTGAAATGAATATTCAAATTAAAAGAATATTGTAATTGAGGTCCAAAAATGAAACGTAGAACGAAAGAAAAAAAGAAAAAAGTTATAAGTACTTTGGAACGTGAATTATCCACCAAAACTTCTCCACCAAGTATGAACAAAATATAACTTTTATTTTATCAGTACCGTTCGTAAATATAATTTGATCCAGTTAACTTCCATGTTAACTTTCACTTTTTTCCTTTCATTCTTCTATTACATTTCCTGATCACAAATCCTTACTTACTTACGTCAATCAGTTAAATTGAAAATTTACAATCGGCTTACATCATTTATTTCTCAAAAAAAAGTTTCTCAAGAAAAAAAAAAGTTGAATGTCATTAGATTCAATATAACTGAGCGTCATATTTATAGCATTATATTGATGAAATGATCAATGATAAAATGAATATCAAAAATTGAAAATATTACAAAAAAAGGCATCATTAGACGAAATTCATTTATGGATTTCATGCATTGAAGTGTAATTTAAATTTCAAAAATTTCACTCCCTTTCTTTCTTCGAGCCTTAGATTATAATCGTTTGGTAAAAAATGAATGTTAACTTAATAGTTTGGTAAAAATGAATTTTTCACTTAATGATAACGAAAAAAAAAAATAGCTGGTTTAGAGGAAGATGAAATAAGTGGAAAGCGAGATGAAATAGATGAAATCGAGAAACCTAAAAAAGGACGAAAGAATAAAAGTCAAAAATCTGCAGAACAATACTTTGCTATCGGTCCTGTACCAAAACAGTCTCGCCCATCGATGATTGACCCAATAGGCCATCGAAAAGTAAAAAAAAAAATTCATTTCAAAAAAAATTTTTCCATTCAGATTTAGTAAAAATTTGAATAACTGAAATAACAAATTTTATTGTGCTCTGCATATTCATTAATATGTAATTAGGAAACATATTTTTCAAATGAAATTCCAAGCAGTCTAAATGGTCATAACTAAATTCATTATGGATAATTACCAGGTTAATTCGGAAAAGGCCCGGCTTTTTTTCTAGTTTGCTAAAGATGTTTGAATATGTTATGATAGTCGTTAAATCATTTTTCAGATTGTAATGAAAGGATGGAAACCACATTTCAAAGTAAAAAAGATACGGTTGCAAGATCTCTCCAGGGAATATTCCAAGGAATAGAACTGCTTCAGGCTGACTTTTGGATGCTAAGAAATAAATAAGACATTTCTCATTTACCTTTGTTTTCTGAAGTGAGATCAGAATTGCATGAATATCAATGCATAATTAATCAACTTCTGCGAATAATTCGATAAGTTGAAAATGATTTGATAAATTTAAAAAACTAAAAATGCTTTCACCCGAAAATTTTCACAATAAATAACAGAAGCAAAAAAATTTTAACAAGGTAATTATCACGTAATTTCATATGTTAAATTCTGTTAATTCTGGCTAAAATTAAAATGTGATAATTTTACAATGTTTTTTGTAGACATTATCATTCATATTAAGATAATTGAGTACTCATTTCCACCAATATGTTTGAGAGTTCTCTCGAATGTTGATTTTGAAGAAAGGGAAAAGGCAGAAAGACCGTGGGAATTAAAAAAAAAATCATTTGAAATTCGTTTTGTTTTTATTTTCAATTTTTTGTTGGAAATTTACAGGTCCTCATCATAGGTGCATTTTATCGATTTCTTAAAAAAAATTTATTCAATTGATAAGAATGATAAGAAAATAGAAGAGGGGAAGCCGGAAGTTGGTCGGAATGCAAATAAATTATTTTATGATTGTCCATTGTATTCAGTGTGATATTCAGATATCAGTGCTATCATTGATGGTATTGGAAAATTATGCTTAAAATTAGAAAGTGCCTCATTAAGGATAACAATTATAAGTCATTCTCAGATCCACAAACATACTGCATTTAACCTTTTTCAAGCGTGATAAGATTCACATAATTGTACTGCAATGTTTTATTTGCCATTTTAATGTATTATTAAATTAACTCATTAAAATCACTTATTAGATTGTAACAATCTTCGTGTACTTCCAATTGATTTGAACGACAATACAAAACGATTCTTTGTAGCGAAATAAAAATGAATAAATGCACAGCAAAAATGAATGATTAGCATTATTGTAATCAAATAGAAGAGTACTCGATGATTTGATATCACTGAGAAATATATTGCTTGAGCAGTTGATGTTAGCGTAACTGTACATCGTATAGTGTGCTCATGAAGAAACTGTAACTTCACTTTTTACCTATCAGACAAATCTGAAGAATTTGGAAGATTAGAAGGGCATTATGAATTAGAAAGGAAGAAGATATGAATTTCCGATGTTGGCTAATTTTAAGATAAGAGAAATTGCTTTTTAAAAATTTGTCACATGGTAGTATTTTTTCTTTTTTTGTTATCTCGCGCCATTATTAGACCAAGCGATCCTAATCGAATTTCATAACAGGAAACTAAATTCAAAACCAAGAATCAAAAAATATTTTTAAAAAACTTTTCTATCATGAAATTATAAGCTTATGAATAATATTTTACCATATATTTTTTGGAGATTGGAATATAATATTTCATTACTCCTTGATTATTTTTATTCGCCTCAAGATATAAATGAAAAAAATGGGTAATGAATAGCCAAATGATGATTGAAGCGGTGAAAATAGTATTACACAATGGATATAATATATTCCAATTTTTAAAATCGATTGTAAACAGCAATATTATAATCGTTGTTAATGCAGCAGCCTGAAAATGATTTATTCTTTCCTAATGCCCTACAATTTCATCTTCTGTACAATAAGCCATTCGACGCATTGCAGTTGTTGTTTAATTTGCCATTTCAGAGTTAATATTCAAAAAAATTATGAATGATTGACATAATTTCCAAAGTTTCAAACATCCCTAAAGTTAGAATATTTCTAAAGTTTCAAACATTTCTAAAGCAAATATTTCTGAAGTTGCAAGTTCCTTTCAACCATAAGCAACAAAATTTACTAATTCTAGGCTGTCAATGCCAATTGATATAGCACCACGTCTCATCAAGTAACTTCTCTTCTCGGCTTTTTTGTCAAATGCTTCTTCGGGTATTTCCTTTGCAAATGGTGAATTCACATCGATTGCCAATCCTCTATCAACAGCCTTTTTCGAACTACCATCTTCATGAACTATCAAAAACAAGTTACTATTGAACTTCAAGCTATTTATTAAATTTTTCATTCCATTCATTTTAATTCTAATTGAAATTAATTTCAGGAAAAAATATGCAGAACAAGAAAAAAAAGATTGTAAATGTATGCTAGAAAGTTTGATTTCATTTGTTTAGTCTACAAAGTGTCTTGAAAATTCTTTGTGGAAAGAGATATGTTACAGAAAATTCTGCTTCGATAGAAAATAATTTAAATATTTTGGCACTTTTTGCTTTTAGTTAATCGTATACAGTTCAGTACTAAACATCCATAGCAGAATTTGAATACTTATTTTGAATTTCTGTTCATGAAATATCGAAGGTACAAGTTGCCATATATTTTAAGCTAATACAACATTACCACTTGCACTGATTTATCATTAAAACGATTGTGTAATTTGAAAAGCTAAACGAAGAGAAAATAATCCCGAAAAAAATTTAGATTTCACTTTTAAAAATCAAAGTTTTATCGACAATTAAAGCCAACTAATTAACCTAACATTATTAAGTTCTAAAAAATATTACACGGTGTAAATCTTAAATATTTGTTCTTTTTTGCCCATAATGTATTATGCCATTGGGTGAAATCAAATTCCATTTCACTCAAATTTTCTTTCTGCAATTTCAACTTTAATAACTAATCTGAATAATCAGCTGATTAGCAAGCTTTCCAATCAAAGGATCAGTTAGAATACCAATAATGTATTTGGTATACTTTCGAACGGTCTCTTAAATATTTATCTGCCAGTATTCTTAATCAGTAATAAAATTCTTGGAAAGCTTCTGGATGTCGAGATGGATGATCATTTGTTTTATTTCTGATAAAAAAATCATTTCTGATAAAAGAAAAAACGCAAGGAAATTTAAAAAAAAAAAAAAAAAAAAACTTGAGTAGATAGATTTCTAAGCTCACCTTACAACAGTTGATTTTGAAGCCTGTACAACAAAACTGTTCAGTGCTTGAAGATTCCTTTTTTTTTAGTGCCGTATTCAAGAATAAAATAATAATTGAATAAATGAATAAATGAAATAAATAAATAGAACCTTTGACAATGTATCTTTTGTAAATTTCCCGCTAGTTGTTGAAGAATGTTGGTCCTCATTTTTTTTTCTTCTAATCATTTCTTCGAACCGTTGCCATCTACGTGGTATATTTTGTCTTTTCAGTTGAACATGATCGTTTGCATCATCGTTAGTGTTGTTTGAACTTTGACTTCTCTCACATTCTTGTGATTGCCTAATGATAGATAGGCATACATAATATAAGTAAATACAAAAGAAGAATAAGACTTAACTCAAGTAGAACAAAAAAAAAAAGATTACATCAAGCTTGCTGGAGAGAAAACTAATTTCTTTAATCAGCTAACGATTATGTGAATGAGAAAAAAGAAATAAAAATTGAATTTTTGATAAATTATAGCAAGCTATATATGATGGAAATGTAAGGAGAATTTCTCGATGAGCGAAAATAATTCGCTAAAGTTATTTTATTGCACACTACTATTTTTCGGTTCAATAATTGCCATAGCATTTAAGTTAATTTTTTTCATTTAATTTATGTATTCACTGAGGAGAAACAGCAATGCACAAATCAAATGATCTTTATCAGCATTGATCAAAACGAAAAATTATTGACCTCTCCTGGCCATTATTTAACATATTTAGGATATTTAACATTCCTGGAATTCTTTTTTTACTTTAAAACAAATTTTTTACTCATTTTTTTTCTTTAAACACAAAAACTATTTCTAAATTCCATCTGTCTAAAGTAGCACTGTTGTGTTAAAAAGAGATTTTTACCATAATTATGAATACATGTATGTTATTACAGATGTTTATAAATTTTAACATATTTTAATATTATTTTTCAAAAGCCTGATTGACTGCCTTCAGTTAATTTCCTAAGATCTAGAAATTTTTTTTTTTTTTGGATTTTTCTTGACCGTTAATTTTGATCAGAATATCTTAAGTTTTTTTTTTTAAAATTAGATGTTTAGAGGATTTAAATTGTTTTCAATTTT